CAGTAATTCTCAAACAAAGAGCAAAATCAATTTAGTTCCATCTAACCCCACACCAACCAGTCTAAGAGTACCCCCAATTATTTTAAGGTCAAAGGACGATAGGGTATCTATTTTCATGAAAAACCAGAAAATCAAGGTCACTCATATACGTAACATTAACGAAGGCATCAAAATCGAGGTGAAAAATGAGGCATCAAAATCGAGGTGAAAAGTGAAAACACCTGCCGAATACAATAAACTAACCAAATTTCTTGATAAAAATAGATACCCGTATTACTCTTTTGCCCTACCCTACCCGATGAAAAAAAAACCCACATTGTCCTTAGGGGCGTTGTGGAGGATTGGTCGGAACAAAGGGTGCAAAATGCCCTGGAGGATCTCCAGTTCAACCCAATCAGCGTCAGCAGGTGGTGTCATAAGGACGGGAAGCCCATGCCGCTGTTATTAGTGATAGTGCCCAAAAACATTGCAAACAAACGCATTTATGATTTTAAAAAACTTGAAGATATTGACATCAAAGTAAGGCACAAAAGCCTAAAACAACAATTTCACAGTGTCACAGATGCCAGCTGCATAGGCACTCCGCCTTTAAATGCACCGCCCCCCCCCCCCCCCCCCGCGTTGTTTTAAGTGTGCAGGGGAGCATCACACGAGAGAATGCCCACCAGAGCCATCCAAACTCATTATTAAATGTGTCAATTGTGGGGGCGATCATACAGCTTCATATAGAGGTTGCCCCAAAAACCCACTTGTCATAAAAGCTGCCAAAGAAGCAGCTAAAGAGGCCACAAGGCCCAAAACTCTGGGGGGGCACGCCCTTCGTGTGGGGCTCCCAAGATGTCAGCAAATTTGCAGGTAATTCATCTTCTCCTGCAATCAACCAAATTAATCCTGAGATGATAGACTGGTTCAAAATAATGAACACAATGCAAAACAATATGCAAGGTATGCAGGAGCAAATGAGTAGTAGATTATACCACGAGTCAATAATGATAGCTATTATTCCCGAGGATTATTACGAACTGAGCCGCGTTAGCGGCGAGGGAGTAACATTCCGAGGGAATAATAGCCATTATTGCGAGTAGTATACTCTACTTTATTTACGACAAATTAATTTATTTGAGATTTTCAATGAACAAATTTCATCCGTCTCATAATTTTCAATACAAATCCACAAGCACTACACGTTTGACACTGACACTTTTGTGGAATAATGACCATTAATCCCGCTACTCGTCATTAATCCCTGGAGGAATAACATATGTCATTATACTGCCAAAATCACAAATATAATACGCACATTATACATTAGTCGTAAATAAAAGCTTTTTTTTACTACTAACCTGAGAAATAGACATTATTCAATCTATTTTTCTAAGAAAAAATTGAATTTCTCTCCCTAGGTTAATAATGAAAATAATGAAAAAATACCTAGGTCAATAATGAAAATGACGTCATGCCGCAAGGATATTGTCATGTTTCTATTGGTTCAATTTCAATTTCATACGTCAATTTGAAAAAAAAATACAGGTTTCTGTAGGTACATAGGAAGTTATATAAGCTGTTGATAGAGGGCAGCACTTTCAAGAGGGCGTTCACAAAAAATAATTAGAACACAGATTTTAAACAAATTTTTTATTTTCTACTAGCAGTAGTAAAAAAAATTCTATATATTCCTCGGTAGAGAAAGTCATTATATACCTCAAGCATTATAAACCTCGGCGCTGCGCGACCAACTTCTCTACCTAGGTATATAATATACTATTATTTACGACTAATGTATAATGTGCGTATTATATTTGTGATTTTGGCAGTATAATGACATATGTTATTCCTCCAGGGATTAATTACGATTAGCGGGATTAATGGTCATTATTCCACAAAAGAGTCAGTGTCAAACGTGTAGTGCTTGTGGATTTGTATTGAAAATTATGAGACGGATGAAATTTGTTCATTGAAAATCTCAAATAAATTAATTTGTCGTAAATAAAGTAGATTATACTACTCGCAATAATGGCTATTATTCCCTCGGAATGTTACTCCCTCGCCGCTAACGCGGCTCAGTTCGTAATAATCCTCGGGAATAATAGCTATCATTATTGACTCGTGATATAATCTACTATTTTAATCTAACCAACGCAAATAAGAATGTTCTCAATCTCAGCAAACACTGAATGGGCGCAAAACCATGTTATTTAAAAATTGTCACCATTAATATAAATTCAATTCGAAACAAATGTCAGGAAATTGTCAATTTTCTGGAGGAGCACTCAGTGGATGTCATGTTGGTCCAGGAGACTTGGTTGAAACCGGGAATCAGTTTCAGCGTGCCAAATTACAGGGTGTTTCGAAACGACAGGCCTGGCAGGAATGCTGGCGGTACACTGATTCTAGTTGCAAAACACATTTTCGCCGACGAAATCCCCAATCCGGATGACGTGATTGAGGGAACCTTCATCAAAATCAGAATGATTCAACACGAATTGATACTAGGATCAGTGAACTGCAGTCCCACCAGGGACATTGATATCGCCAACATTGCAAAATTCTTCGACAACGAGGACTGCACTTTGCTTGGTGGGGATCCCAATGCCAAAAACAGGGAATGGGGCTGCAGAGGCACCAACAAAAGTGGCAGGAGCATAAAATATGCAAGTGAGTTCCTGGGCTACAACGTTATCCTCCCTCAAGAAAAAACCCACTGTGCCACACAAGGGCTTCCCGAGCTCTTGGACTATTTCTTGGGTAAGAACACCGACTTCACATCAACACCAATAATAATACACGAACTGTCTTCGGACCATGTTCCAATGGCTCTGGAGTATGGTGACTCCAACGACCCCCTTAAGGGCTATAAGCAAATATCCAAAACCAACTACTGGACAAAATACTCAGAGCTACTGGAGGGTGTTCCGGAAGCAGGAATTCTGAGTACTCCAACCGAAATAGAGGAGAAAGTGGACAGAGTCACCTCCGAAATCCATTTGGCCATGGCACTGTCCACAACAGTCTCCCATGCAAAATACACTAAATACGGCATTCTGCCAAATTTCATTAAGTATATAATAAAGGAGAAAAACAAAACTAAAAAGATGGCCTACAAGACAGGGGATCCTGCAATAAAAAGAAGGGCCAACCAGCTTACTGATAACATCAAAAGCATGCTAAAAGAGCATTATAATATCTTATGGGAAACGAAAGTAGCCCAGGTCTCAATCGAAGATAATTCGGTTTACAAATTCACCCAGAGATGTCTAACCAGAGCTCCACGTAAGCCAATTCCGCATATCGAGGTCGACGGACAAGCAGTGTCCAATCCTCAAGAAAAAATCGAACTGTTTTCGAAATCTCTAGAGGAGCAATTTTCTGAAAATCCTGCCACTAACATCAACAAAGCACAGTCAATAAACAGAGCTGCCGCCGTTTATTAAAACATGCCTTACAACCCAGGCAATTTCCATCAGATCAATGTTCAAAGTAGGGCACTTTCCCAACAGACAACAATCAATCAATCAAACCACCAGACTCGCTGCCAACATTATCAAGGGCTTTAACAGAAAGGCACCTACAGGAGCAGTGTTTCTGGATGTGTCTAAGGCCTTTGATAAGGTTTGGCACAACGCTTTATACATTAAATTTATCAGACTCGGATTTCCGTGTCATCTAACAAAAGTGATAGAAACATTTCTAAGCAATAGGTCTTTCAAAGTGTTTGTTGACGAACATTTTTCAGAATATAAAAGTTACAATTCACATAGAGCAGTTTGAAAAGCTCATTTTGCACCCTCGTTTTGCTGAAATTCAACTGAGATGAATAAAAATCCTATTCCAGGCTCTCATAGAGTAGTAACTCTAATTTCTGACAATTTAACGATAAATTTGAGCTATTAGTATGAGTAGTTTGAAACATCAGTTAGTAGGTCTGTTTCTGCAGAAATCACAGACACAAACCAGTTAGAGTGAATTTCATTGGTTGAAACTATAAGTTTTCTGACTGTTTCTGAGTGTTTTCAACCCATGAAATATGCTCTGACTGATTTGTGATTTCTGCAGGTATAGTATTGATTTGAAAGTTGGTATTATTTTATTCTACCCCATTTGTTTCAATGGTTATTTGAAAAGCGAAAGACTGAATTTTCTTTTAGAAAATAGATATTTATTCCTCCTTTATGGTATGTTTAAAGATCAAAAAGAGTCTCTTTGCCGTAGAAAAAAGACAAAATAGCTGGTTTTTGGTTTTGAAGCATGGAATTAGCTTCAAACAAACTTTCCTTGATCAATTCAGTTGATTTAGGAAAATTATCACTATTAATCCTTCAAAGTCCACATACGGAAAGTTTCCTGTTTTCTTTTCAATTCGTAGTTGTGGGCAAAAAAGACACGTTCCCACCGGCTTCATCGACAATATGTCTGACAATAATGCATTGATAAATACACAGTACACAGATGGTAACCAGAAGTTATATGAAGTCCGAAAAAGGGAAGGCGATTGAAAATGCCTGGGTACGCAACCTAAACGCACGTTGCAAGAATGCCGTATAGCGAAAAGCAAAGATGGACATACACGTTGGAGAAATTAAAAACCAGTAGCCGATGCAGAAGATGAAATCTCTGCTTTATGAGACTCGGAGACGACAGCTTATATATAAGGAACTTTTTTTGATTTAAATATCGAGATGGTGAGGTGTGTTTTAATTTACAATCAAACTTTATATAATTTTCATCTATACCTATAGAAAAAAAAAACGACTAATTAAAAAGGCATTTACATAAAGGCTTGTGCAACAATAAATGTATGGTGTAATCCGAAATACGGATAGGTGAATATAAAAGGCGGAAATCGTGGGCTCGAACATGAAATAAATTCAGAGAAAAACCCGTTGCATTCGGTTTCATTTTAGATTTAAATTTAAAAGCAACCTACATGTAACTGAAAACTTTGGTTTTTGTTTTATCTACATCTAAATTACTAAAAAAAAAAATATGTCTATGGTTTTCAGAAATGTGGTGGTTGACCCTTTCCCTGATATGGTGGTGCGGTACCGCTGCAATTCCATCTCCAAGACCTCAACCCTTATTGCCGTACCAGCAGGAACAATGGAAATGTCCAGAAATAGCTCAGCAACCCGTGGTCGAGTGCAGTTGCGATATGCCTCACACTTTAAGGTGTACCGGAGACAAAACTGCTATGCAAATTATAGGTAAAAAATTAACTATCAATCATATTATATAGTGGAATTGGAATCGATTAGAAACTCATTTCCGTTCACTTAGTGGGATGTATAAACATGCTCCGAGATTAATTAATCTGAAAAATGGATTCTTGTCTTTGTAGTATCGATTTTTTAAGTGTAACCTGATTCAGTTATATCTTTCTGGCTATTCTTATGCATTCTTCCAATAAAATTACTTTGTTTTTCAGCTCGTAAACTTCGATCAATGAGAGCAGCTTCAATATCCCTTCTAGACTGTACAGTACAAAACGTTTCCGTAGTTTCTGGACCACTTCTGGAAGGTATTTCCCTTCATGGACTAGTCATTTCGTCTGGACAAATCAAGGAAGTTGATCCAGTCGCATTTGAAGGTACACTTATATATTTTTCAATTCCACATTACATAATATTGTTTTTAGGATTATCATCTCCATTGCAAGCTTTAGGATTACCCAACAATCAACTGCTATCAGTACCGACGCTGGCTTTAAATAGCTTACCAGAATTAGATAGACTGGATTTGTCTGGAAATCAAATGAAGATGCTCGATGGAGGCTCTTTTAAGGTACCTATATATACACATAAACCCATGAAAATTATAGCAACACTTTTTAGGGCCTAAAAAATCTCTCCTTTATCGACCTGAGCAACAACCTCATAGCCAAGCTGGCTCCAAACACATTCGATAATTTACCTCAACTTAAAATCCTAAGACTACGAGGAAACCGACTTACCCTGGCTGCCATCAATAGACTCAACTCGTTACCAACAACAGAAGATTTAGACATTTCGGAAAACCAACTGGTAGGCCCTTTGGGTCCGAAATCTTTCCCTAAAATGGAATCGCTGAAAGACCTGCAATTATCACATAACTCGCTAAGTAGTGTGAAAATGGGTGCTTTGCAAGGCTTAATGAACTTAACAACCTTAAGGCTACAACACAATCTAATCGATGTAATAGAAGATCACGCTTTTATACATTTAACCACTTTGGTTACTTTGGATTTGGCTCACAATAGAATCGTAGCTGTATCTGGAGCTTCTTTAGCCCACTTGAGTTACTTAACCGAACTGGATTTGAGGCATAATTTCTTGAGAGCTTTAACGGCTGATTTAATTTTGCCTTTGAAATATTTAAAAGTCCTCAAATTGGATGAGAACGATATTTCGATTATAGCTAGTGACGCTTTAAAGCCCAATACAGTCTTGAAACATTTGACTTTATTGGAGAATCCTTTAAATTGCGACTGCAGCCTGATCGATTTTAGTATGTGGCTAACTAACTCTTCGATACAAGCCGAAGATAAGGCTACAGCTATTTGCGCAACACCACCATCACTGGAAAATGGTTTGTTAATGGAAATTCCAACAGAATCACTATTGTGTGGCGAAGATGAACAAGAATCTATTATGGCACCCTTATCAACACCTTATAAAGCCAAAGTAAGCCTAAAAGATTTAAAATACGACGGTAAAGCTATTAATTTAAGCTGGAACGTTGAAGAAGAAGCTACTCCTTATACTTGTGACGCTATATTTATTTACGAAGAAGAAGGCCTCAATGAAATCTTACTAGAATCTTACCCAATTAAATGTAATTCTAGCGATATGATGAATAGTAAAGAATTACAAGTAACAGTCCCAACTTCTTTGCAGCTACAACACAAATATCGCTACTGTGTAGCTTTGTTTGGCTCAGAGAAATCAGACGATGTCTCATTGATTCTAGGTTGTTCCGATATGATACCTTTAATACAAAACCCAGTTATAACTAATCACAACTTTATGGCACAAATGCCCAAAGTTGTTTCGATACAAGCTAATCTTTCTAGTTCAGGTAGTTTATCCTTGGAGGCAGCAGTGTATCCAGATTCACTAAAATGCGACTTAAACATAGCCATATTGGATCAAAGCACATTGATATCGCAAAGAAAATTAGCCTGCGAAGATCCAAAATATACTTTTGTTGATTTGAATCAAGGCCCTTATAGGGTTTGCGCCAACGTCGTCCAACCAGGCCCAGCAATAGATTTACCCAAACCGAAATGCGTTACCGTTTTCAAAAAAGAGTATCACAGATTCACTGGTTTGGATGTGGCGTTTGTAACTATTTTTTCGGTTTTGTGTTTTATGGTTATAGGCCTTATTTGGGGCGTGAGAAAAATGCTTTTGAAACCGAAATTGCAGACGCATCAGTGTTTTTTGCCGCCGGAGTGTGACGAGAATGTTCAGCACAATCGGTACGTGAAGCTGCAGGCTACGACAAAATTATAACTAATGTAGGAGTAGGTTTTTTTTTCTAGTGCCATACTTGTTTTGTTTTATTTTTTTTGAAGTGCAAATATTTTAGATACAAATTTTTTGGGACTAAAAAAAAACTTATTAACTGTTTACTAATAATAATTAGGTTTAATTTTTTAGTGGATATTTATGCTGTATATAGTTTTAGTGTCAGTTTTTATTAAGCCTTATTTGGTTGTTTTTTTTTATTTGGAAAATTTTTATTATAAATTAACAGAACTGATTAACTTTAGTTTGTATATTGTAGATACTTTTGATATTATTTATACTAATGCTTTGTTTTTATGTTGTTAAAATATTTTGTTGTTAGTTTTACCGCCTCTTTTGTAAAAATAAATTTGTCTCTTGCCAATAATAAGAGTTTTATTTAACAGGTTGTTGAGTTATTGGCTTATTTTGGTATTTTTATGTTATTTATACAGGGTGTCCCACCGCCCTCAGGAAATCTAGCCACTTCTGGTTGTTGTTGCTTGGGTACTTATATATCCTACTCGAAACCACCCATAGTACCCCAGGGGAATTAGACCAAAAAAAGGGCCATCTGCGGAATGAGGCCGAACAAGCTGAATTTTTGCAGAGACCTTCGTTTTGATGTTCTAATGAAGCACTTGTGCGTCTTGAAATATCAAAGGTCAAAGGTCACGAAAATCGTTTTTTTGCGAAAATCTAGCTTCCAATGCATCTGGCGTCGAAGAACCTAAAACAAAACTTACATAAAACAGTATTTTCTACAAAATTGTTCATATACATTTTTTTGTACGACCAACCGTTTTCGAAATATAGCGTGATAAACAGGAGCGCGCATTCAAAAAAGGTGATACTGTATTATACAGGGTGTCTCCTTCAACTGGTCAAAAATGCTAGAATATATAGAGGAACCATAGAGAAGTAATTTGAGATGGGCGAGATGGGACACCGATGGTCGGAAGTGCGTCGTTTCCAAAATATACAGGGTGTTGAAAATTAAACAACCCCCTTTCATATCATCTGAAGGGCTAATGCTAGGCTGTTCAAATTTTCAGGGATTATTGATGTGTGAATGATATTTGACAATTCATATAATGCACTTTGATTTTCTACCTGGAACCACCCAAAAAAAATAAAAAAAAAAATACCTACTCAAAATTTGAAAAAAAAAGCAATTTTTTTCAATTTTTGTCTTGTTTTTGGGGTAGTTTTAGGTAGAAAATGGGGTTGCATTATACGAATTTTTGAATATCATTCCTACATCAATAATCCCTGAAAATTTGAACAGCCTAGCATTAGCCTCCCAGATGATATGACAGGGGGTTGTTTAAATTTCAACACCCTGTATCTTGGAAACGACGCACTTCCGACCATCGGCGTGTCCTACGGCAAATTACTTTTCTATGGTTATTTTATTTGATTTATTCTTTTTTTTTCCTTAAGTAGGGAATGTGTTAGTTAGACAGATAGTAGTACATACATACAAGTAAATGTTGGCTCAGATTAGAAGGATTGGGTTAAAAGTTAGAGGTTTTCAATTATTTATTTTATTTTATGTCATACCAGTACATTATTGTGTTTTTATACCTTAGATACCATCTATATAATTCATTACTTTATGCCCGTGCGGGCATAAAGTACACATTATGGCCCGCGCGGGCATAAAGTACACATTATGGCCCGCGCAGGCATGACATAAAAGTTTGTATGCACCACGGGTACTAATAGATATATACCCTCGGGCAACTTACGAACCCTCGGGCCAGAGGCCCTCGGCTTTGTAAGACTGTCGCCCTCGGGGCATAATCATCTACTTAGTACCCTTGATACATAAATAACTATTATGTCATACCAATACATTATTGTGTTTTTATACCTTGGATACCATCTACATAATTCATTACTTTTTTTACAAGTACACATTATGGCCCGCGCGGGCATAAAGTACACATTATGGCCCGCGCGGGCATAAAGACGCAAAAAACAGTTTTCAATTAACTTATTCTTTATTAACAAAATATAAATTTACGCTTATAAACATATTATTTTTGTCAAAAAATTATGATGTTTGCACACTGATGACAATTTGCGAAGTGACACTTTTTCCTAGGTATTTATTATTCACAACCAACTGGTATGACATAAAAGTTTGTATGCACCACGGGTACTAATAGATAATATACCCTCGGGCGACTTACGAACCCTCGGGCCAGAGGCCCTCGGCTTTGTAAGACTGTCGCCCTCAGGGCATAATCATCTACTTAGTACCCTTGATACATAAATAACTATTATTTATTTTTTCTCAGGGAGCTACAATTTAACCCCCATTTTCAACCAAGTAACTGATAATTAATTTCAGGGCCGGATTAAGGGGGGGCTTTGGGGGCTAAAGCCCCGGGCCCCGAAATGAGGGGGGCCCCAAAATCTACCTCACACACGGAATAAATCATGCATATAATTTTACAATTTCAATTTCGCCATCTATTATCTATCAATTATGTCAAATCAACACTACCCTATAATTTTATTATTGAGTAGCTGGTATAATTATTGATAGATGGCGCCCAGCCGCCATGTTTTGTCAAAACAAAATTGCATAAAACTCCATAGGATTAAATGATAAAAACAAATTGCTTTTGTCAAAACATGGCGAATGAACCACGTAATTCTGAGAACCAATAAAAAATGAGACAACCCTGTCAGGGCCGTAACCAGGGGGGGCACTAGGGGGCAATGCCCTATCTTTCAGATGATGATGCCCTACCTTTAAAACACAACATGCGTTAAGGTTTCTCTATGAAATTTAAGAGTAAATAATGAATAAGCCTAAAATCGAGTTGGTAGGTATAGTTATTTTACAAGTTCTGCGCGCCATTTTGTTTACTTGCTAGAGATGTTATTTATTGAAAAATTTGCTTTCGGCGCTATTACCACCATTTTGTTTATCTACGGTGTGTCCCACTTAAAGACTGACCGCCGTCACCGCACTGCTAAAATTTTAATTTTTTAACCGATTCAATTCTTATTAGGCTCATAATTTTATTTTTGCGGCTTTACTAGTGTACAGGGTGTCCATATTTATAGGCTCAAATTTCAATTAGTACTATTAGGGGTTTTCTTAGAAAAAATCTGATAGGAAATTCTTATTAAGAATAGTCTAAAACCCAAATGTACTAATTTTTGTTTCAATACAATACAGGGTGATCACAACAAATTTTAAAAATGTAATGGACCAAACCGCAAAAATGTCAGATTTCGAGGCCTTGAGAACAACAAAACTTTATATAACATAATTTTACAACATCTCTAACCAAACTTGTAGTAAGCTTGTCTCAAAATATGACATTTTTGCGGTTTAATTCATTTAATTTTGAAAATTTGTTGTGATCACTCTGTATCGTATCGGAACAAAAATTTGTTTATTTGGGTTTTAGACCATTCTAAACAAGAATTTGCTATAATGTGAACACCCCGTACACCAGTAACACCAGTACAGCCGCAGAAATAAAATTATAGCTTAATAGGTGCCAAATTCAAAAAAAAAAAAAAAAAAATTGAATCGGTTAAAAGATGAAAATTTTAGAAGAATGGTCAGTTTTTAAGCTGTATACTGTATAAAAAATTTAAGGGGAAGGGCAAGTTAGGGCTAGTGGTGTATGCTCTATGTCAAATTTGTCATGCCCTATCACAAATTTGACTCAAGCTACGGCCCTGAACCCTGTGCAACCCCCACTGTCGCCACTGTCTTGTATAAAGTCACTGTAATAAATGCGACAACTTTACAGCTGAATTGATGCAGGTTTGTGCTTATATATTCGGGACTTGAAAGATGATGGCCTTTTTCAGGTTTTTTCGAACGTTAACATTATTTTGAGAATATATTTATCCATACCTATCACAAAGTGCAAGGGTGAAAGGTCTTTTAGTACTCTAGCCTATATTAAAAACAAATATCGTTGTGCAATGGGGGATAATAGATTATCGTCTCTTTCGCTATTGTCAATCGAAAACGAATTAATGAGAACAATAGACTTTTCAGATTTAATTAACGAATTTGCTGTGTCAAAATGTCGAAAAAAAAAAGTAATATTTGTAAGAATTTAACATAGAATAAGGTTTATAGTAGGGATAGAATCGACACTTCCGTTATATGGGTCGGATAACCATTTGTGGTGCCATCTGCTGTCTATGAAAAGAGCTCATCCCATTGTAGCAGTTGGTAGAGCAGTTTCCTCCTTATTTTTTTAGAGTTGCTTTTTATATATTTTATAATAGACACAATTTGATACAAATTTAACAAATAACGTTTATTACAAAGAAAGAAGAAAGTTATGTTGGAGTTTCGAAACTTGTCAACAAACTAAACACTTAATAACACAGAATTAAATAACAATAATAGTCTTTACACTAAACATAACACTGTGAAAGTCCACAAATACGCACAGATAATGCTCTATCAACAATACGAAACACTTTTTCAACGAACAGAAATATTAAAGCAACAACAAAAAGCACAACGTTGTTCAGTTCATCGTTCTGTCATCATTTGTCATTTCATGAATTCATGTCGGTTCATGTCATAATTTAATTAGTATGACGTCGCCCTTCTTCTCAAGCGGAGATACCTTGGAGATAGAATCAACAACGCGTACGCAAATCAATTGATAGCGCCTCTACCGGGCATGAAACAAGTTTATCATCGAACCAAGTGGTACATTTGAAGATCGCGGGGTATGGAATTTAAGAATAAATATTTTTGATTACCACCTCTCCTGTACTGTATTGTTTGTTCTGTCAGTAAATAGAAAATTTACATTTTTTCAACCTGCAAGGCATAGAAAAAAACTGCAAGGTAAAGTTTTGAGTGACGTTTGAATTTATTTCAGGGACCTATACTCTATTTTTTTGAAAGCTGGTATAATCAATCATACTCAACCAATTTTAATCCCCTCAAATCCTTTGAAGAGTGAATGAACCACCTGCAATAAACGATGAGGTGACAGTTTGATTATACCACCTTTCAAAAAAATAGAGTATAGGGGCCCCTTTTGTGAAAATAGCCCCGGGCTCCAAAAGACCTTAATCCGACCCTGATTAATTTAGTAACTTTGCTGACTGGGGTCAAATAAAATTGTGTCTAATGAAATTGGGGCTTGCACATCTATATACCCAAGTAACAATCTGACGTCATTTGACGTAATATTATGTTAAAAATGTTCTACCTGACGTCGGCATGCGACGTCTGTAGGACTTCAAAAGTCGGGAAGATCTAATTATTTATACCTAAACTCTACTATTTTAAAAATTGGTCTTAAGATTTTTCCCTATTTTCTACCAAATGTGGATATATTATTTTGAAACCATTACAACACAAAGTGAACTATTTTA